GTTAGAATTAATTGACAAATCTAATTTGATTAGATATCAATTAAAGAAATATATTAAATTAATCAATTAGATTGATTAATTGAATTTTGGATATTAATTTAATAATTAATAAAATTACTAATTAATAGTTAGAATTTATAATTGAATTTTAAATTTCAAATCCAAATAATAATAAGATTATTAAATAAGGAAATGGAAGAATAGATTAAAATAATAAAGTCTTGAAAAATGTTTTCAAGAATTATTATTTTATTATTTATCTTTAATATGATTGAAGATTAAATATTAATAAGAATAAATTAATTATGGTGGTTTGGAGTTGTTAACCAATCCACATAATTAATCTTATTTTTATTAAAACAATAATGGTGGTTATAAACCACTCCACATTATTAATTAAAAGTCAATATTTGGTATGATTATTTAAATAAAATCTGATTTTATTTAAAATAAAATATATCAAATATTGATTATTTATGCTAAAATGTTTAGTATAAATAGGTGCAAAATGTTTGCACATTAATAGCTAAGTTTTGAGCAAAATTCTTCCAAGAGAAAATTCATTCAAAGAGTTCAGTGATAATACAAGAAAGTGTTCTTGAAAAATTTCCTTATAAATATATATTCTATACTTCTTGAAAAACCGAGTAGTTTCTACTAGCGAAGAAACTATAGTCGGAACCAAAGTTCAAAAGGTGGATACGATTAAATGGAAGACATTTGGATTCCTAAAGTGAGTAACAACAAGAAGTGATCGTTACCAAACCGGGAATTGATTTCCTCATACATCGTCGGTTTTCAAGGAGTTCAAGAACAAAGGTAATTTTTATAAATTACATATCAAATCAAAATTAGTAAAAGTTACTAGATTTTAAATGATGCTTATTTGTTATCTCGTTATACTTATGTACGGAATAAGTATTTATAAGATAAATACTTATAAAATTTTAAATTCCGATGCAAACTCTGTTTCGTACAGTATATCGAACCCAACATTTTCATGGTATAATGAGGACTATTAGATAATTGATATAATTCCTCATAATGATAAGAAGACACTAGGTAGCTGTACTCTTTTTTCTTCGATCAAGTTTTTTCCCACTGGGTTTTATTGACAAGGTTTTAATGAGGCATCACGTATATACTCCACTAAAGATGATCTATTTGAGGGGGAGCAAATGTTGTGCTTCCACAAAGCTCATGTTTTATCCCACCGGGTTTTTCTAAAGGAGAAATGTTGTAATTCCAAAATGATCAGATTTGTTCCACCGGGTTTTCCTGACATGCTGAAGCAACGATATATAATGAACAAGATATACTTCAAGATGTTCAGATTAAGCTTTGTCCAAATAATGATATGTTTAAAAATAGTCATTCAAGGGGGAGTGTTATAGTATGGTGTGTGTGGTGGGTGTAACCACCACCTACCATAATTAATTATATTATAAAATAATATATGTGAATGACTATTATGCTCCTGATGTAATTGTATTATTACGATTGTGCCATCAGAAGTTTTTCTATAAATAGGAGCTTCAGTTAATGAAAATAAAACCAAGAAAAAACATTCTCTATTCTCTCTCTTTCTCTCTATTTTATAACAATTTCCTCTATTAGATTTTAGTGTTTCATGATCCTATTAGTATGAATTTTTATGTTTTTAAATTGTTTATTTAAATCCTCTCTATATATAATTCCCGAATGCGCTGAGCCTACGTGGTTGCTTCTGGTGCTTCAGAATCCTACTTGGCAAAGAATCATGCTTCGTAATTAGGTTTAGACAAATAATATTTGTATATTAATAATTAATAATTTAGGTTCGGACATTCCATAAATATTATTCATCTAACTTAGGTATTTTAATATCACTTGTACTAATATAACCCTTTAATTATTTGTAATTTTACATAGTGAGGCACTAAGTGACGAATATATCCCTGACTTTGATTTGTTTCCTTCAATCAACTATGAATTGTAAATGTATTTTAAAAGTCGATAACTTTTGTATTTCTTATCGGTTTTACATATATTATATATCAAATTAATCATCTTTTGATGATCTTCGATTTGACATCCATATTGTATATATGAAATAAATAAATTATATTTATCTTTATAATAATAAATAATAATAATATTTATTAGAATTTATTAGAAAAATAAAATTATTTATCAATTGATATATTTATTTTTAATGTAGTTATATGTTGTAAGTTAAAAATTATTATAATATAACACAGGTAAGTCGCACAAATAAAAATGTTATACTAAATATATAATAATATATATATTTTTGTAAAAGATATTTAAATTTTCAACTACTTTTTCTTATTAATTTTAGACTTTAGAAAAAAATTAGCAAGCACTCGTGTAATACACGGGTAGTATACTAGTTTAAACAAAAATTCAGAGTAATTTAAATTAGAAATGGGTCTAAATTTAAGGTGACGTTGTACATGTACTGGTCCATAGTATTAAGAGGAAATTGCATTCCATACTGTCATGCTTAAACTATTTAACA